TCCAAGCATGCCATTCATCTCCCTACTCAAATTCTTTGATGGTGCCCCACTGCCACCAGATCAGTTGCTCTTAATGAAGCATTTCTATCACTGTGTGAGAAGTTTATCATTAATACATATTTTCAAGGAGATACTTTAGAGATTATTTTCATTTTATAGAAGAGGAAAACGAAACAGAAGTTAACCTATCAGAACCACATTTCTTCCTGTAGGACTCAGAGCCAACAGCGACGTCACTCATGTGTCCCTCCACTACCCTGCGACCTGCAGTCAAGGCAAATTGGACTAGGTCCTCTTACCTGTGTCCTGGCTGCTGCCCACACCCATCTTCCTGCTGAAATGTGTCTCCTCTCACCTTGCACATTCAAGTCTTTCCTATGCTCAAAGGGCCAATTCCAACACCATTTTCTGTCAAGTGTTCCTGGGTCTCCACCTCTGACACCAGAAGTCACCTTTTTCTGTATGCACAGTCCTGCCTCAAGGCACAGCCATTCACTTCAGCGTTTCTCTTTGCTATCTTAAAATGCAAGACGTCTGTGGGCAGGGAACAAGTCTGGCAGATTAGGGCAGATGATATTCAAACCCAGAGGAGTTTCTTTCCAAAGCTTAGTGAATTTTGATTAGAAAAACAATTTGTCCTCCTGGATTATACTTCTCTAAGGAAGTGTGTACATGGGTTTCTGGAGTATCAGTGTTTTCGCCCTGGCATATACTTGTTTTCCTTGTTCTCCTCTTCCATTTGAATGACAGACCTTATATTGATCATGTGAGTCTCACATTCACTCTATCCAGCCTTGAAGCTTTCTTTCCGAAAGGACCACTACAAACTTTTCCATTTGGAAGTGCAACCTTCCTGTCCAGTCAGTCCTAGACACCCCCATTTTGGTAATTACATGCGGAAAACAGTGTTGCCGCCAGTGGGTTAAATTCATTTGCGAAAGCCTGTCAGGCCCTATCCTGGGCCCTGGGAGAAAGAAAATAGATATCATGGCCTGTGTCTCTTCACTCTATCAATAGATATTTGAGCCCCTACCCTACTCCAGGAACCATGTTCTTTGTACAGTGTCCATCTTTTTCCATGAACTACGAGTCCTATGAGGGCACGGATCACATCTGCCTGGTTTACACTGTTCCTTGAGCTCAGTGCAGGGCCTGGCACACAGGTATCCTACAAATATTTATAAAACTGAAAAGAAGGGTTGGGGATTTGCATCTGTCCCAATCCCTGGAGAAAAAGCAAGAATTCCAGGGTAGGACTTGGCTCTGGTTAGATGGTCAAGGACGTTGACTGAGTTGGTTGAACAAGTCCTGGGTCCTGTGGAGGTCCACTGTGGACCACCCTCACTGTGCTCAGGTTGTGGTGAGTTCTTTGTGGGGTTTTCACCAGTCTCTGAAGAACCAGCAGTTCGTGCTTTCTCATGAGACTTCTTTTTCTTGGGATTTAGTAGATTGACCTACTCAGTGGAAACTAAAAACAGACACTTGTCTAAAGGTCCTGTGCTTAGGCCTGAGGTCAGCAAGCCCCTCCCCAGGTTCCTACAGATGGTTATTTGTCTTGTGATACTGGTCACCTTGGCCCCAAGTGGGCAAAACAGGAAACAAAACCGAAGATGGCCTGAGGACTGCTCACCCAGATTTTTTAGAATATTCCCAATTCAATGATAAAAAACAAAACAATCCCCTCAAACAAAAACCATTAACATGTTTCCAATAGACTACTATGTGAAATTAGACTTTTTTGGTTCTGATTGTATGCATATACCTGATATCATCACCACAATCTAGATAATGAACCTATCCACCCCACCAAGTTTCTTTGCGTCCCTTCTTAATTGCTACCTCCTGTCCTTCCCAGCCAACCCTATCTCTGAGCCGCTACTGTTTTAACAGTTTTCTGTTCCTATAGATTAATTAACATTTTTAGTAGTACTTCTTTGTGAATTTTACCTTTTTGGGTGCTGATATTTTTGTGTTCCTATGAATATTCTTTTTTTAAAAAAATATTTTTTAGTTAGACATGGACACAATACCTTTATTTGGTTGATTTATTTTTACATGGTGCTGAGGATCGAACCCAGTGCCTCATATGGGTGAGGCAAGCGCTCTGCCACTGAACCACAATCCCAGCCCGTCCTATAAATATTCTTGAGCTTTGCTTTTTGCAATTGGTTATTTGGAGACAGCTTAAGCCTTCTGGATCCTGTTTTCAAATGTGAGGCAGAAAAAGAGGAGTTTAGACCCGGGCTAATTTTTCTTCATTACTGAGTAAAACTCTTCTAAGAGCTGTGGTCAGTGTTGGTGAACCATGAGGTTTTCCACTCTGGTGAGAACAGAAGCTATTTTGGGCTCTGTGTGAACTCCAGAAATAGTTCCCTCTAGTGCTTTCAGGTGGTTTCCTCACACGTGGGTGCTGACCAGTACTCAGCTGAAGACTCCAGGGGGAACCCGCCAGGTCACAGGTCTCTGGGTTCTCTATCAGCCCAGCTCTCTCCTCTCTGGTAATAGGACCTACAAGCTGTAGCCACTTTGGGTTTGCCAGATTCCGCTGTTTCCTCAACTCAGGGAGACCTCCAGGGTCTTCCTGGGTCCCCTGCTTGCTCCCTACTCGGGGAACGCTGCAAGCAGTCAGCCAGGGCAGTCACAGGTCACACCTTACTTGTTTGTTTTCTCTTAAAGTTTGCTGTCCCTTCTTGTCTGATGTTTAATGTCTTATGAACAGTATTAATATTTTTCACACTGTTTCAGGGTGGGGACTAAATCTGATCCCAGTTACTCTAATCTTGGTTGGAAGGGGAAATTTCTAAAACTACTTTTGATAATGACTGTGATAATGCTGCAATAACTTTGATATTCTGGACTCCCTTCATTAGCATTGTCATCTCTGGGTACCTCAAGCTGATAAACTCTTCTATTGAGAAAATGATTATACTTGTATTACATTTCACATATACAATTGATTATATGTAATATATGAAAATAAAATTGTAATTTCTTCATTCAAGAACAATTTTTAAAAATGTTGGTGTAAGACTGCCAAGCATCCTTTGCGAGAAGGTCTGCTCTGAAATGATGGCTGCAGCAGTCGAGCTGGTGGTTCCTTCCCAGCCTCCGCCTCTGTTGGGGCACCTCCCAAAACTGCTCTGCTGGTGTACAGAGAGCCAGAGTTGGCTAGGAAAGAATCCTGGGGGTAGTTTTCAAACACTGACTGGTTTACAGAACAAAAAACACATATGCTAGCTCCTTTGTCTCTGATGGGGCAACTCTGAGGTGCAGCCTCCATTGTCTAGTGGAGTGAGCATGGAAGTTCCCGCTATGGACCCTGAGGAAGCAGCCAGCCCCGCTTCCTTCTCTTCATTTCTCTGAATCACTTTCCTATTCATTTCTCCCTTCTTATCTGTGTATAAATGCACGGACCCAAACAGTAAGTTATATCCCAGAACAAAAGGTTTGTCTAACAACCAAGAAAAGTTTTGGGGAAAAATAAAATGGGCAGGTAGAAATAAAAGTCTTACCTTCAAATACTCTCTATATGAAAGAACCTAAACAATGGTAATTTCATTTCTGATCTAAAAAGAGGTGGATGCCCTAGGAGTAGAAGGGACACTAGTTCCACCATACTGATAATAAGCCATGCTTGCCCCAGGTCCTACTGAGGAACAGTGCCAGCTATTTCAAGGCTTACTACACTTCCATGAAGCTGCTTATCATGGCTATCAGTTTTAGCAGGGTGTTAAGAGCCTCTGGTTGCTCACCTCGGGGTGAGAACAACTTTAGCCAAAGCTGGGAAGCCATATGCCAGAAGGGAGGGTGGTGGACTAAACATTATAGACCTACAATTCACACTAGGGATGATGTGGGAAGTGAGATTCTCCTTCAGCCAAAAATAAGGGAGACACCCTAACAGGCAGACAGTAGTTTATACTTACCAAAGAGTAAAATACAAACACAAAAATCCAATTTATAGAACTGTTCTACTTAACTGATCACACACCATTTTATTCTGCTATAAAGCTTGTGCTTGGGCAACATGGGCATTTTTTACTCCAATTTATCGTGATTATTGATTGACTGACTGATTGACTGAGGTGCTGGGGATTGAGCCCAGGGCCCCTCCCAAGCTAGGCAAGCACTCCACCACTGGCTACATCCCCAGCTCTAGTTTATGGTGATTTTATAGCTTTAGTCACTGTCCAACCCAAATGTGCCCTTCATCATCCCAACTCTCATAGTCTTTACATAATAGACCATTTAGTCACTCTATTTGAGACATTTTATTTCTCTCATTCTAATATTAGGCTTTGGTAAGTACAAAAAAATTGTTCACAAGTACAAAAAATTCTGTAAAGCTCTGTTGTAGTTATAAAAGTCCATAAAAACAGAACAATTTTTTTAAGTTGGATAATATTTAACTCTATAAATCTAAGTGATGATTTTGACATGTGGCTTTAAAAATGGCAAAAACTGTTTTACTGCGATTGTTAAAATTTTTGATGACTCTTTCACCTGTTTCAGGAAATCTGTCTTAGACATTTATACTGGACAGATTTCTTTTACTATAGCCCAATTCCCTGCCTCCTCAGGGCTTTGTTTGTAGTAAGCCTGTGATGTTCTGCCCAAGGGAAGATTCTGACAACAGCTTCAGAAGAAAGAAAAGCTGGATTCAGATTTATAGCCACTGTCCTTTCCAATGTAAAAGTAATCTTATGTCAGGTGGCATACACTGTAATCCCAACATCTTGGGAGGCTGAGGATTGCAAGTTCAAGGCTAGCCTCAGCAACTTAGCAAGACCCCGTCTCAGTATAAAAAGGACTGGGGGTGTAGCTCAGTGGTAGAATGCCCCTGGGGTCAATTCCTAGCATTTAAAAAAAAAAAAAAAAGTAATGCTGCAAAACAGTGATACAATTTTCTTATTAGTAATATTTTCTCTTCCTGCAAAGATTTTTTTTACTGTTAATATTGTAGATGAATTACATTTGATGAAATTTTCTGTTTTTCAAAGTATTTTTAAAAAGTTTTATTGAAAAGATTTGATTTTTCCTATCCCAAAGATTCTGAGTAAAAACAACATTGGAATAAGTCCCAGTTTATCTTGCTGTGTTTCTACCTAATAACCTGTGGGACAAAGCACTGAGATCCTGCAAGGATTTGTTCAGTACTCCAAGTATTAAACAATCAAAACAAAAAACCTTTCTTTCACTTAATCATAAATAATAAAAATATTGCCAGAATGTTGCAGACATGAAGATCAAATGAACATTATAAAACCAAACCAGAAGCTGTCTCACAGCTTAGACTTTTTTTTCCTCTGCTTAATAAGAAATAAATTATCATTGCCATCATCTTCCACATATCTCTCCTTTTTCTTTGGCTTGCTCCGCTTGCCCTCTTTGGGAAGCTTGTCTTCTCTTGGCTTGTGGTAATGTGATGAATGGTGAAAGGACTTGTGAGGCTTCTGGGTCTTAAAACTGCCAGGTGAAGAGTGGGTTTTGGGGCCTCTAGGAAAGTCCTCATCCACTTCATGATGCCTGTCAGCCTTTCTGTGCTTCTCACGTTCTCTACTCCTGTTCATCATTTCCTTCTGTATTTCTTTGTCTTCTTGATACCACTTGTTGCTTTTTCTCCAGCCATGGCTCTTCCTTATATCATGGTGTGGTCTCGTCTCTGCTGCTTCCATGTGCAGTCTCTTGAACTGCCTTGGAAAATCCCCATTTTTCTGGATTTCTGGAAAATTAAAAAGTATTTTGAGCTTTTGCAGGTCTATAAATGAGGAGACAGGCAGCTAGATATATTTAAATGTGTTAATAATACAACATTCTAAAGAGCCTTTAGTAAGGTAAAAACAACAACAACAGGAATAAACACTAACTAGAAATGGAATGGTTGTAGTTTTACATTCCTGATTGCTAAAAAGGGAAAACACCACAAATCCAACGATAGTTGTTTGTTCTATTCAACACAGTTTAACTACAGTATTAGACAATAGAGACCAGGACCTGCAAGAACAGTAATCATCTTAGTTCTGTGAGGAAGTCACGTCTGACCAATTCAAGTTCCTCCAGTGATCATTAGTCTCTGATGATAAGGCAAAGCAAGATGTATAAAATTGCCTTTGACAGTCTCACATGACATTTCAATTACCTCCTGAAGATAAAGTCTGGCCACAGTACTAAGAGGGGGATGCCAGACTGCCCGGGAGATTACTCCTCTAGAGCAGAGACTGCTGGCCTGGGGAGAACACACTTGTGTGCACTCTGTGTGGGTATTATCTTAGAGGTTTTAGTGCCAGATGATGTTATATTTTGTCAGGATTCAACATACTTATTACGAGCTTCTGATGGTGAGTGATTCTGACATGAGTAGGTGGGAGATGAGGTTACAAGTGAAGGATGAAAATTAATGTCAGTAGAACCTTGAAAAATTAAAACATTGGCCAATAACAACTTTTAGCATAAGACTCTTAGAATAAAATAAAAATTCCAACGCAAACTTCAAAATCGATTTGTGCTACAGAGTGTCAATACAACTAGCTAAAAAGGAAAAAAAAATTTTTCCTCAAATTATAAAAGTTATAAATGCTCATGATGGAAAACTTGGAAAAAAAACAGACAAGTTAAAAAAAATCAGAAAGCACTCATAATTTTTAAATTCAGAGATAAAATTTTCATTTATTTCTTTTTAATCTCTTTCTAATTTAGTTGCCTAATCACTGTCTTCCTGTACTATAATTTCTCTATAGTTTAGATAAATTTTATATTAAATATGTAAACTATGCAGGCATTGTGAGAAGAAATTCCTTTGACTTTCTTTAGAATTAGTAATTTTATTTTGAAAAGGTCCTAAACTTAGTAAGAGTTTAAAAAAAGAATACCAAAAAGATGAAAACTACATAATAGAACAACTTGAAAAATAAACAATTTTGTCCCCAAACAAGAAAGGTAACTTGGGAAACCATCTTAAAGTACACAGCAAGAAAGAACAGAAGTAGAGAAAATAGACTTAAATGATAAGATATTAATTTGGTGAGAAAGAACTTAAATGTTAGCAACAGTAAACACAGAAACCAGAGAAGTGGCTGGGGACCTACAGCTATGCAGACAATGGTGGCCTATAAGAGCTGATTTCTTAAGGGAAGCTCCAGGAAATCTTTCTTTCCATGAAAAATATCAGAGACATACAACCTGAAAAAATAATTACTTGTCAAACAGAAAAATCTCCAAGGAATCTTGAAAACTGCATGCACAGATGGAGAGCAGTATTTTTCTGGACATTTTCTAAAATGTTTACTAAGTGGAAAAAATGTTTATCACAAACAGGTTACAATACAGAATTTTTGAAGTAAGGTGTTTGGCTTCTGAAGATGAAGAAAATTCTAGTTTCTATGGTAATTATTAAAAACATTTACTGTGATAACTAATGACCTTGAAAGCACGCAAAGATAAGAAAAAATTTAAGAGGGAAAGTGCTGGGGAATGATATTGGCCAATTATGTTCATTTTTTTGTGTTCATGTGCGAATATGTAACAATAAATCCCATTATTATGTATAATTATAATGCACAATAAAAAATGTGGAAAGAGAAAAAAAGAAATCTAGGAACTACTACTGCAAATGTTACCTGACAAGTTAATAACATACCTTTTTTAAAAATAATATCTGTTCTTTTTAAAATTTTTTTTTAGTTGTAGACAGATACAATACCTTTATTTTATTTATTTGTTTTTATGTGGTGCTGAGGATCGAACCCAGTGCCTCACATATTTAAGGCAAATGCTATACCAATTGAGCTACAATAACAGCCTAATAACATACCTTTTATTTTTCGTTTTATTCTCTGTTCTCTCTCCCGAATTTCGTATTTGTCATCATAGTAGTAGATGAATGGAGATGTTGGAAATGTCTGATTATACATCCGTCTTTCTGTACATTCCTGCAAATTGTATTTGAAATTATGATGTCATAGTTTTCACTGTTCAGAAAACCCTTTTGTGAGCTTCTGGACCACGCTTATTAGAGAAGAGACCCACATCACTGGTGTCTTGTGCTGTGGTTGAAAGCTGGAAGGGATCACGCAAACCAACAACCCTACTGTGTTTATGTGCTTTTCTTTCAGGCTTGGGTTTTCTTCCCTTAGCTATAAAACCTTTCCTATTTTTTTCCATCTTCCCTGCCAAATTCCTCCTTAGTCTCAGTCAACAGCACTGAGGGCTGGTGCCATCTGCACTTGTCTTGTTCTGTGACAGAGTTTATTCTATTCAGTTTTATGTTCATATCTGTCCTTTCCTTGTCTGTTTCTTCCAAAAATGTTCCCTTAAGTATTTCTTTTGTCTCTCCTTCTCACCCCCAAAATATAGGTGTTAAGTTCTTAGCCTCTTGCTCTCCTCTCTAAACACAAGTGGTTGGCAAGTTTATTTTAACTCAGCATTTACTGCTGATTAGGGTAGTGATTCTTATGATAGGGAGTGAGATGGTGGTAGGTTATGTCTACTTTAAAACTTTTCCCATGTAATTCTGAGATGCCCCAAAGGAAATCTCTCTTCTTGCTCCCTACCCGAGCTGAGATCACCCCTTGTGCTCCTTTCCATAGGTGGCTGCCCACTCTCATGACTGGTCTTCCCACCATGGCCATTTCCCATGTTCACATCCTTTGGCCTGAATACTTCAGGTTTTCATTTATCATGATCTGCAACACATATTTATTCACCATGTCTGAAGCATTTTTTTCTTTGAAAGTCTTCCCATTGGAAGGTTCCCGTTTATCTTCTGTTATCTTACCTAATATTTATTTATAACTATTCAGCATTTTTTAGCTAAGTATTGAAGAAAAATTAGAATAGTTTTAAGAAAGCATGTGAAAAATACACAAAGAATTTAGTTGATTCATTATAACTCTGACATTGTATCTGAACTTGTATCTTTAAGATAGCTGGCCATTTTATACATTTTATATAATTAATTTGCTGAATTAAAAAATTATGAATCATCAGAATATATTTCAAAGAGTTAAGTAATGGAAATCTGTTTTTATTATTCATATCAAATCATAACATTTTACCTTAACAGTTGACTTCTGTTTTCTCCTAAAAAAAGAGTTTTCAAAGAATCAGCTTTTGGTTTTGTTGATACTATTTAGTTTTCTGTTTCTATAATTTTCTCTTTTATCTTTATTATTTTCTTCCTTCTACCATCTTCAGACTTATCCTATTGTTTCTTTCTTTCTTTCTTTTTTTTTTAGGTACCAGGAAGTGAACTCAGGGGCACTCAGCACTGAGCCACATCTCCAGCCCTATTCTTTATTTTATTTAGAGACAGGGTCTCACTGAGCTGTTTAGCACCTTGCCATTACTGAGGTTGGCTTTGAACTCGCAATCCTCCTGCCTCAGCCTCCTGTGCTGCTGAAATAACAGCATGCACCACCCTGCCTGTTGTGACTTTTTTTTTTTTTTTAATCATTTGGTCTTATTTGGATTCTGAAAGTTGTAAGGCAAACTTTCATGATAACATAAAAAAATGTGTTTAGAAACCACCATATTTAGTGGCTCCAAATTCTCATTTCTAGGATAAAAGATACACATCAAATAAACCCATAAAAATTGGGTCTAAAATTCTGACAATAACTGAAATGAAAGGCAGCTAATTAAGAACATAAAACACAGAGAAGCATAAAACTTAATGATGTAATGAGTCATTCAGAATACTCTAATATTGTAATGGTGGAATATATAGCAGCTTTATCTTTAGTAAGAATCCTAACCATACAATAGTAGGAGCAAATCATGATGGCACAAAGGTACTAAAGATCTTCATACATTCATTCAATACTTGTCAACAAAACCTTTTAACTCTCCCAGCTCCCACTCACTCTTTCACATCCTCCTGCAGAGGCTCTCTGTACAGTGACTACTGTTGTCCTTGACACCCTCCCCAGACCCCACTCCACCAGAAAGGGAGCGGAATTAGGAAACAGTAGTGTCACATTTTCACGCAACGAATCTATTCAATAACAACATCTGTATGGCTGAATTTCTAAAACTGAAGGAGAAAGATCCTCAAACATCTTGAACCACCTGCGTGCTCTATTTGGATCCCATATGGTCTAGACTGACATGACTACACAGAGTTATACAGTACTACAAATGTTTTCCAAAGCTAAATGTAAATTGTATTTTGATTATCCACATCGCTGGTCCCCTCCATTAGCACAGACAATTGATAGTTGGCTATATAATTTATCTACTATTCTGGATTAGCCACACCACTGATCTTCTTCATTAGTGTTGGATAATCTAGAGTTCTTCATCTATGGCAGTGATGAGGTTGCCAAATTTGTTTTTTTATAAATTAAAAATTATCTAAATCTAGATTTCAGGGATAAATTCCAAATGCTTTTAATATATTTCCTATCTACATTAACAGGAGTGACTAGTAAGTAATAAGCATCCAGCTATAATTGTTTTTCTTTAATTGAACAAAGATAAATGCTAAAATTATACCCTTGTGTTTTAAAGAGGTAAGCAAGCATAAATCATACATTTATGTGATTTGTGTGCCAGTAGACTGCTTATGTGAATATGTTCCCTAAAAGGCGTTGGCAGCATCTGAATGTTGGTAACACGGATGAATGCACAGAGCAGTAAAAGATCTAGAGATGATAGCACTGTAAAAGAAACCTTCTCTAGCTAAATTTTCAATGTGAGTTCTACAGAAGTGAAGTAAGTGTGCTGTAGGATCTCTCCATCTGTGTCACCACAAGGTGGGTCTGATCACATTGGAAATAGCATCTAAACATCAGGGCTGAGAAATCCCCTGTACCACTTCTTTGTTTTGGAGATAAGGATTGAAGGTCAGAAAGAAAAAGTGAGTTGTTGAAGTCACCTGGTTAAGTCAGTAGCAGAGTACAAATCAGAAGTGAGGATCAGAGCCTCATGCTAGTTTTCACATTCTAAGCTCCACCCATAGTTCTGCTGCCTCAGTATGGAAGATAACTTGATCAGCAGATGGACTCCATCACTTTTCTTTCTCCTAGCCTTTTTGTCTGTCCTCATAATGTAGGGCTCCCAAGGCTTGTACCAGTAAATGCCATGGCTGGAATTTAAGAGGTGGCCTGCAGTGCTACCCTTTTCTATTGATCATCCTTCTACCCACTTAAAGGATTCCAAGCTTTGTTGTTTTCTACCTCCTTCCACTGGATCTGATTTGATATCAGTTCACCTTGTTTTTGAGGCTATTAGAACCCTACCTGGAAAGTGGGAGTGCATTTCTCCATATGAACTTTCTACCTCCTGTGCCATTGCCCTTTCCTCTCTGCCTCAAGAGTCCTGGAATGCATGGATTTTGAGCCTATTCTTATTGCTTCTTGTCTCTGTGATGGATGGCTGCAGTTTCACACTTAAAGTGGCAACTGGCTAGGGATCTTGTGCCCACCTCACAGCAAGAAGTCGCTCCTGCTCTGAAACTTAAACATCCAGAACACACAATCTGACCCTTTCAGTTGGGGTTAGAGAATGTGTTAGCTGGACAAGGAACCTGGGCACTTGTGGAGTAGGTGGGTTAGTCAGTGATGCATCACCCCTGTCTTTCCACTGTTGGGTGTCAGGGATTGCAAGTGAGTGATGAAGACTGAGTTGACTACAGTACCAGGAAAAAGTGGAAGAAAAAAACAAAACATGATGGAGCTGTGTCAAAGTAATCATGAGAGGAACTCATGAGAACGCCATGTACTGTTGACGACTATTATATGACTCACTTCATGAGCTGTATTTGTTTTTACATTCACCTGTAACAGACAACTATGCTCTGACAGACAGTTACTCTGGTAGGGATGGGAGAAGTAAATAAATAGAGAATATATACACTCAGAAAAATTAAATTATACTCAGAAAAATGAGAAATTATACCCCATCTGATTCAAAAGTATGATATGTCAAGATCATTGTACTGTCATGTGTACCTAATTAAAACAAATAAAAAAAAGAGAATGTATTAAGTCTTGCCTCTGAATGTTAGTTTGTAAATAAGTAAGCATTCAGAGTTCCATTCTTTTTTGAGCTCATCTTTCAACAACTGCTCCCTGACAACAGAATGCTTTATGTTCAAATGCTAAACTTACGTGTCCATAATGGCCTTTTTGTGCACAGTTGTAGCAATAAACTAATGCTGATTGTCCAGAAGGAGTCTTCGGTTTTTTGGGTGGCCCAGGTTTGGTCTGCAACATAAAACATTTGTGAAGGTTTAATAAAAGTTAGAAGAAAGTTATAAATACTGCTTTCTAGAGCTTAGCATGGAGTGGCAGTGGAGGATGGAACCTTGGACAGAAACATTTAAGGGCACACAGAGGAGCTTGTAAAAGGGACAGAGAAGGAAGGGCTCAAGCATGTGGAGACCCAGGAGAACACAGGTGCCAGTGTTAGAGAATAGTTTTAAGAAAGATGAACTGATCTACAGTGCCAAAAACCAGCAGGGAGACCTAGTAACACCAGGATTGAGAAACATCCATTGTAAAAACAACTGTTCTTAAATAACGTTAGTGCAAGAATTTGGAATCAGTGGGAGTGCACAAAGAGTTGAAGGCTGTAGGGTGAAGAGTAAAGGGATGCACATGAAAGTAATGAAATGTAGAAAGAAAAGCAAAGAAATAATCACCGACTAGGGCTGGGGTTGTGTCTCAGTGGTATTGCACTTGTCTGGCATGTGTGAGGCACTGGGTTTCAATCTTCAGCATAAAATAAATGTATTGTGTTCATTTACAACTAAAAAAGTATAAAAAAAAAAAGAAAGAATCACCCACCAAAGTCAGGAGGGCAGTTACTTCCAAAGAGGATAGAAGAGCCCATAGAGGGCTTTGGGGTAGCTGCAACTTCCTAGTTTTTGTACACAGAGGTAGTTACTTGGGTGTGTATCATATAACTAATCTATTAAATTGTACACATATTTTATGCACTTTTTAGGATGCATATTACATTTTACAATAAGAAATGTTTAAAAATATTGAGTATAGGTTGAAGACAGGGAGAATAATGCTATATATTATTTTGAGAAGCATGAATAATGGCAGAGTAAGATGATGCAGTACTTAGGGGGAGGAAGATTTGGTAGGGTTTGTTTTTTTGAACAGGAAGAGACCTGGGCATGTAAGAAGGCTAGCAGAGATGGAGACACTGAAAATAGAGAAGAGAAAGGAGATGATGGATGGAGAAAGAACTCTGAGGAAGTGGTGGCTGTAATCAACGGGAGAAAAACCTAATCGGCACTCCCCACCCCAAGCTTTTGGGAGACTGAAAGAAAACATGTAAGATGAGCATAAACATAGGTAAGTTTATTTCTCATGTTCTTTACTGGGATCCTATTACCAAGAGTACTATTGTGCCATCTAATTTTATTGCTTAATGTTACAAACAGGTGGTTTGTGGGGTTTTCTTTGATTGATACAGGAAAATAATGAATAGGTAGTAAAAATCTTCTTTAAAAAACTTTACTTTCAATTCTCATTTCCTAGAATGGAAAACCAGAAAACCAGAAGAAAACAATAAAATAATCTTTCTGCTGAAAATGATCACAAATGCTACACACAATGGAATTTATAACCTCAGCTGTTACCAATTCATATATAAATAAATAACAACAAATGTTATACATTCTCCAATTAAAAATGTGGCTCATAAATTAAGACTAGCCAAAAATCACCAAAAAAAGTTTTAACAAGTACACACATAAGTCATATATCCCTTATTGCAGAGATTCACATTTTCTTCAGGTAGTAGAACACCAGGAAGATGTGAAATTAGTGAGTGTAATTTTTTTTCTGCCTATAAATAAATAAATAAACAAACAAATATATATATATATGTGTGTGTGTGTATATATTTAAAGAGAGAGAGAGAGAATTTTTTTTTAATATTTAGTTTTTAGTTTTCGGTGGGCACAACATCTTTATTTTATTTTTATGTAGTGCTGAGGATCGAACCCAGCGCCCCGTGCATGCCAGGCGAGCACACTACCTCTTGAGCCACATCCCCAGCCCACGTCTATATTTTTTGATGTGGCATAAAATTGCAGCCATGAGCACACATGTTTTAAGGGAAAACTAAAAGAGATGGTGGTGTCAAGGATGTGATAACATTTCAAGAAAGAAGTTGTTAAAAGCTACTGATGGGCTACAGAAGATGAAGACTATGAAATTCATTGGACTTAGCAATCAAGAAGTTGTTGGCAACTGCAAACTTGTATGCAATTTCACTTGAGGAGCTATAGCATGAGCCAGATTGAAATACGTTTATCAAGTAACTATAAAAATGCCTTAGAACAGAACACTCTTTCAAGAAACAAGGATATGTAGAGAACAAGGGAAAGAGACAAGTAGAACAGAATACAAGTCCAAGGTGCCTCTATTCATGATACTTTTTAGTGTGCTGGGCACAGGGCACCATTGAGTGCCCAATATATACATGGCATTGTTCTCAGATCAGGTAATTGAGAAATGAGAAAAACACTGCTTACATCTCCAGTGCTGTATGTGTACACGTGCACACACTTTCACATATCACTCATGTGTACACAAACTAGAAGATGGTGATTAGTAGTATGCACACAGCTAAAACTGAGTTTTATGAATTACAGATTGAGCTGCTGAGAGAAACCCTGACAAGGACGATCCTTTATTATAATAAGGAAAAAACCCCAGGTATATAATGATTAAGGGACACTATTCTAGGCATATGGTATAAGGAATAGGTAGTGCTAAACCCAAGTTAGAAGCAAGCTCACTATATTTGAAGATTTGAAAATGTATCTGTAAACTTGGAAGTGTAGTAAGTGAAGAAAGAATAGAAGAAAAGGAGGTTCCAGGAGGTGAAGAAGGACCTTACCTAGGGCTTTATGACTGGGGGTGAAAAACACTGAATTTATTTTAAGCAGCATGGGAACCCAGTGAAGGGTTGAAGCTAATGGTAGGTACTCAGTAACTAGCTGGTGACTGTTAGGAAGGACCATAACTGATGATAAAAAGAAAAACCCACTCCTTAAATAATAAATGCTCTCTAAAATGGTACTTACTTATGTTTATAAATTGTTCTACTTATGTTTGTGCAAACATATAGAAAATTTATCTTTGAAGCAAGATTTTTAGATTCATTAATGAGAAGGAAAAATATGCTATGTTTATACCACTGAAGTAAGGGATTCTACTGACTTGAATCCTATGCAAAGGTCAAGATAAACCAGGAAGTAAAGATGAGAGAGGCTGGTGAAACCATATCAACAGGGATATCCAGTCACTAGAACTTGATTTATTGATATAGAAGCAAGCGGAGACTTTCTCAAAGGAGAAGCTATCAGCACCCCTATAGCACTTCTGGCTCTTCCTAAAGAGTATAGGACACAAAGAAAGTCATAATACTGCACAACTGTCTAAAGGCTCATTCCTATCAACTCCTTTCAGAGAAAAGGCCACCTTTATGTAATATTGCCAGTTGTTTGCAACCTTAGGGTTCCTAATTCCCCTTTTCCCTACTCTCCTCCTCCTGTTCCTCCCTTTTTTTTTAAATAGCATCCATCACTTTCTAGTGTACCAAAGTGGTTATTGATTATTGCTGATCTGCCATCTCAATGCTACAGTGTAAGATGCATGAAGGTGGGGACTTTTCTTTGGTCTACTATGTATCCCTACATTAAGAACCTAGACAATGAATTGGTAGAGAACCTAGAATAGGGGTCAGCAAATTTCGGCCCATAGACCAAATCTGATCTTCTCCTGTTTTTGAATGGCTTACAAAGTTGGAACAGCTACCCTTAAAAAAAAATTTTTTTTTTTGGTTATACATGGACACAATATCTTTATTTTGTTTATTTATTTTTATGTAGTGTTGAGGATTGAACCAGTGCCTCACATATGCAAGGCAAGTGCTCTGCCAGGGTCACAACTCCAGCCCATAGATACCCATTTTTAAATAGTCAAATGTAATAACAAAAGAGTATTTTGTAACATGTGAAATTCAAATTTCAGTGTCTATCTATAAGTAAAGTTTTATTGAAACAGAGCCATATATATTAGATTATGGATTATCTCTAGCTGCTTTTACACTAGAGTTTTGATGGAGACCATATATAGCCCTCCAAGCTAAAATATAATACCATCTAACACTTTGTGGAAAGTTTGTTGACCCAATACCTAGAACATAGGAAAAGCTCAATAAATAAAGAGGTAATGAATGAGTAGACATTAAAGACTTCAAAATTCTAGACAGTGGAAATTAGTTATGCAATCAACAAGTGTAAAAAGTGGATACAAACACTGAATACACCTGCTACTGAGTACATGAAGGCAAAATTTTATGGAATGTCTCTGAATTTATTTTATTGCTTTAGTCTGAGGAGATAACAGGTAGTTCTAATGCATTTAGCCCTTAATAGAAATTATTCATTTTAAAAGGTTGCTGAGTTCCTACTATCCACAGAGTATGTAATAGAAATTGTGAGGGATACACACATAAATAAGAATTCTAAAACAGATGAGTTAACATGGAAAAGATCTTAAGAAATGAAAACACTAGGGAGGCCATGGCTCATCAAGGGGAGTTAAGTGCACATCAAATGCATATTTTCCATTCAATAAATGAAGTAGTATAATTTTTTTGAGATGCCCCTTAAGTACAGCATCTCAAAGAACAAATTCACCTGACTGCTATTAAATGAATCGTAGTTAGTTCTTTTTAGTTTTTAAAGTGTTAAATGTTTTAAAACCAATAACATGCATGTGGCACAAAATTCAAGACACTAAATGGTAGAGAGTAAAAAGTCTGATTTTGTTCTGTTTTCCATCAATCAAGTTCCCCTCCTCAGAGGCAACAACTGTTACCAGTTTCCTGTTTTCTACCAGCAACAGTCTAGGCATGGATACATGTGGGCACTCTGTATATGTATATAATGCAAGGGCATATTTTTGCCTGCTTAAAGACAAAATATGGATGGAAGGGATTTTAAGAATTGGTGACAATAATCAAAGGCAAAACTGACCAAATCTTCTGAAGAGCCAGAGGCTCTGATAAAAAGTTATCCACTGCATTTTGGGATTATGTGCTAATCCTGGCTCTGTCACTTATGCAACATTAGTCAAGTTACTTAAATGATTTTGTTTCATTTTATTCATCTGTAAAATAGGTACAATAACAGTAACAGCACTCCTTCCTGACACTGTTGTGAGGGGATGTT